CCCCCAAATCCCCCCCGCCCGGGGGGGAGGGGGGGGGATTTGGGGGGGTTGAAGTCCACTCATCTTAAAGTGGCCAAGTTTGGACAACACTGAAGTATGTAATTATTCGACAGCAGTGAGAGATACGCCCATTCTGCACACTCACCCTCCATTTACGTACACGAAGAAAACGGCCGTGTCCAACTCAGTCCGCTCCGCGTGAACACAAACCTATCACTCCATCTGAGATGGGGAATTTACAGCTTGAATAGCTTTTTGTTCTAAGTCATCCTGCTCTTTGACCGTGTGATGGGAGACAATGAACACAGGACCGTTTACGCCAGCATCCTGCAATCCAGGGCTTGTGAGGGGGGGACCTCTTTGCTGGTGCTCATGCAGGAGGGACGAGGAGGCAACAGATGGCTCTGCCATCGCCTTTCTGCTCTTCTCAAAGACGCAGAATAGAGCAATGTCCACCAAAAACAGGGGAATGAAACCATCCGCCAAGCCCACCAATGTTTCTTAGATCTCCATGAGTCCACAAGGTCTCTCTGTGGCTCTGCTCACCCATCTGAGAAGCTATCACCACTTCTTTATCCAAGGGTCAAAAATGTCAAAATGGGGACCCCCACCATGCTATCAAATTCCTGCCCCTTTTTTACAGGCATCATATATATATATATATATATATATATTTAATGGTGGTGGGGCTTTGATTGTATGGCTGTAGCCAGAAGCTAAGCTGGTAGACCCCAAGGGACACTGGCTTTTGCTAACTTAGAAGCAAAAGATAGAAATAAAACAGAGAAGACGTTGAATAAAAGTGTGACTTGTGCTTTCAGGAAAATGGCAGAGGAATTAAAGCCGTTTAAATGCCTGCCTAGCACTTAATAAAGTACTCTGGAATTCATCACTGACCTTCCCCGTGGCTTTCAATCTCTAAGGTAAAGAGAAAGGTCTCCTGAAACTTTAATTAGAAGCTTTTTGCTGGAGGCCTCTCCATTAATTGTTATTTGTTCAGCGTGGCAGCGACATGACTAGTAAACTGTTGATTAAACTGCTGTTTAATTGCCCTGTAATTGGACGGCTTTAATTACAAATTTCTTTTTTTCTCTCCTTTTATTAAAAAAAAAGAGGCACCATTCTGCTAATAGGAAAATAAGAATAGATAAAACAAGCAACTCGGTAATTAGGGGACAACCAAGAAGCAATTAACCAGTTATTCACTAGTCACGCTCCCACTTTTTGTGAAATAGGATGTAGTCAGGGGCTCAGGAAGCTGCTCCTTTCAAAGGAGGAAAATATTAATTAAACGTGCAGGAGTCCTGACGATCCTTAACAGCAGTTTCCTGATCCATGCTGAGCAGTCTGATACTGCCATTTTATTTAACAGAGGGTGGGGGGAGCGAGAAAGACCACAGATCAGGTCTGAGGTGGGGGCAAAACCCCAAAGCACAGGAAGAGGACAAGCTGGAGATCGTGCAGCCTGTAAAAAGTGGGCAAGAAGGAATAGGGGGCGAAGCCAAGCGGGAGACTCCCGCCC